GAAGGGTGTACTTTCAAGTGGCCACCAATGTTAGGAGCATTTTTTACCGACACCTAATGAATTGGTTTTAGCAGAGGTTCCCCAAGACCTTAAGATTATTTTCCTAGAAGTAGGTTTGAGAAAGGCTGCTCTAGAATTTACAAAAGATGGATCAAAAACAAAGATCATCCACTGAGTGACAGTTCTATAAAAGCATCTAATGACTCAGGTCATAGAAGATCGGCCAGACTTGTTCAACTCACAGACATGAATAGCCACTTCATAATTGGCTCTTTACAGCAGAGGCCAAACACACAACATGTGGAACCTTGAAGAGAACAACCTACATTTGTATATGATCATAATTGGAAGAATAGTATAAGACCAGAAAAAGGAAAACGAGGCTACAGTGGGTACAGTCGGGGTGGACTGACAACTCAAGGGGCCTCTGGGCAATAGGGGATCATGGGGCCCCTGTGTCCTTGCCCAAACTCAAAAAAGCCTATGAAAAAGGTACCAGGGGCATCTCATGGGGCCCCCTACTGACCCCGGGCCCTTGGGAAGTGCCCGAAGTTTCCAAATGGTCAGTCCGCCCCTGGTTACAGTATTGTCAGTTTTGGTTCAACATGCTGAATGCAGGTGCAGAACATTTGGAGTACAAAGCATGAATTCTTGGGAAATCCTTCAAGGTTTGTCACAGTGGCCTTTGCTTCTGACTTCTGATTTGTTGCCTGCCCTGTTTACAGTTAACTTTGTTCTGTGAGTTTGTCTGCTGTTTGTTTCTTTTTCACTTTCTAGCTCGCCCTGACCCTTGACGGACCTTCAGATTTGAAACCTCATTCTGGTTTGTCTATTGGTTTTCTGACCTCTCGACTACTCTCTAGATCAAGGGTGTCAAACTGGCGTCCCTCTAGCTGTTTGCGAAAGTACAAGTCCCATCATGCTTCTGCCTTTGGAAGTCATGCTTGTAACTGTCAATCTTGCAATGCATCATGGGACTTGTAGTTTGGCAACAGCTGAAGGGCAGCCAGTTTGACACCCGTGCTATAGATCAACCCAGTGTTTACTACTGCCTGCCTGTCAATGGGGTCATTACATTATTTGCTATGTTGCGATGCTAGCAGCACAAGCTCAGCAGTGGCCTGGTGAAATGCTGGGTACCCTGGAACTGTGCTGAGAGGCTGTCTTCTGACCAGCTGGTAGAGATTAGTGTCCTCTGCCCCTCTTAGGCTTGCCTCTCTTCTATATGGAATCATTACAGGTACAGTTGCAAGAAAAAGTATGTGAACCCCTTGGGATTACGTGGAGTTTTGCATGAATTGGGCATAAAATGTGCTCTGAACGTCATCTAAGTCACAACAATAGAAGAGTTCACATACTTTTTCTTGCAACTGTAGGTGTAAATCACAGGCAATAAATTCATTGGAACTGCATGTAAGGGGTCTCCAAGCTATGTCCCATGGGCCAAATATACACAGCTTGGGTTTGTAGCCTCTTACGAAGGACTAACAGAGTTCTTCAGGTCATCCTATGGTCTCCATTTCTCTATAGTTTCCACAGCAACCACCTTCTCTGGTGTCCAGCATACATTCCCTTGGCTGCACTGTTATCGTACTATCATTGGTTGCTAGGACCCGAGGCCTCCTAACAACCAACCACATGCTTAACCAGCCATTTGCAGAAGAATGAATCCCATCCATGCTGATGTAAGAGTGAATTCTGATGGGGACCCTGATGTAAGAGTGGACTTTGATGGGGACCCTGATGTAAAAGTGGACTCTGACGGAACCCTGATGTAAGAGTAGACTCTGATGGGGACCCTGATGTAAAAGTGGACTCTGATGGGGACCATGATGTGAGAGTGGACTTTGATGGAGACCCTGTTATAAAGTGGACTCTGATTGGGACCCTGATTTAGGACTTTACTGATGGGAACCCTGATCTAATAATGTACTCTGATGGGGACTGTGATGTAAGCGTGGACTCTGACCGGGACCATAATGTAAGAGGGGACTGTGGACTCTGATGGGGACCCTGATGTAAGAGTGGACTCTGACATGGACCTTGTTTAAGACTGGACTCTGATGGGGAGCCTGATCTAAGAATGTACTCTGATGGGGATTGTGATGTAAGTATAGACTCTGGTGGGGACCATGATGTAAGAGTGGACTCTGGTGGGGACCATGATGTAAGAGTGGACTCTGGTGGGGACCATGATGTAAGAGTGGACTCTGGTGGGGACCATGATGTAAGAGTGGACTCTGGTGGGGACCATGATGTAAGAGTGGACTCTGGTGGGGACCATGATGTATGAGTGGACTCTGGTGGGGACCATTATGTAAGAGTGGACTCTGGTGGGGACCATGATGTAAGAGTGGACTCTGATGGGGACTATGATGTGAGAGTGGACTTTGATGGAGACCCTGATGTAAGAGTGGACTCTGATTGGGACCCTGATTTAGGACTATTTACTCTGATGGGGACCCTGATGAAAGAGTGGACTCTGACGTAGGAGTGGATTCTGATGGGAACCCTGATCTAAGAATGTACACTGATGGGGACCGTGATGTAAGTGTGGACTTTGACTGGGACCATAATGTAAGAGTGGACTCTGATGTGGACCTTGATGTGAGAGTAGACTTTGATGGAGACCCTGATGTAAGAGTGGACTCTGATTGGGACCCTGATTTAGGACTTTACTCTGATGGGGCCCTGATGAAAGAGTGGACTCTGATGTAGGAGTGGATTCTGATGGGAACCCTGATCTAAGAATGTACTCTGATGGATACTGTGATATAAGTTGGGACCCTGATGTAAGGGTGGACTCTGATGGGGGCCCTGATTTAAGAGTGGGCTCTGATGGGGGCCCTGATTTAAGAGTGGACTATGATGGGGACCCTGATGTAACAGTGGACTCTGATGGGGACCCTGATGTAAGAGAGGACTCTGATAGGGACCCTGATGTAAGAGTGGACTCTGATGGGGACCCTGATGTAAGAGTGGACTCTGATAGGGACCCTGATGTAAGAGTGGACTCTGATGGGGGGCCCTGATGTAAGAGTGGGCTCTGATTGGTGGGCCCTGATGTGAGAGTGGACTCTGGTGGGATCCTGATGTAAAGGAGGCCTCTGATGGGACCATGATGTAATGGGGAACAATCCTGCAAGGTTCTGATTGATTCAAGTTGATTCAGAATGTCTTTGCTTTGTCAAGTATTTGTAAAAAATACAATGTGGTCCTCATACTGAATAGTTTGGACACCCCGATATAGAGTCAGCGCATACATCGGAACATTTCCATGGAACATTGCTATATACAGGCCACAAAGTACTCACCCTGTTCATAAAGCAAAATGAGATCGAACACAACACTGCGAATGTGTATCTAATGGGCACTGAGTACACTCAGAGGTAGTCCTCATACTTACAGGAACAGCACAGTCCTTGCTTTCCCAAACCGATCAACATATTCAGGCAGAGATTGCAGTAAGCAGGTTTGTTAAAGTGCTTCAGCCTCCACACATGTTGTCCGTCATCCTTTACATTCTACAAAACAAGCAAAGTAGATGTAAACCCCACAACTAGATGACATTTCGTTTTCTAATAAAGACTCTATTGCTGTTCAGCAAATGTTACCTCATGAAGATAGTTTAATATTGGTAATAGATCTGCGAGGTCACTGTTTTCTCTATCCAAGCCCATCCAAATTGTATCCTGTGTTGGGCCCTGACAAAAGGGGGACCGGTGTAACACCTAAAAACGCGTCGACTCTATTTACAGCATATGACTTTTTTTTTTATTGCCAACAAATAAAATGTCTTGGACTCTTTCATTTGTTTTTGGTCTGGTGCCCCTATCTTTTCTGATTTTGTTTTCTTTAGCTCTGTGTAACAGAAGCAACTGCCACTTTATTTTAAATAAATAATGGTCTACATTAAAAAAAAAAAAATACTGTTTAAAACATTATAGCTTTATCTTGTGTTGAGCCCTAAGGAAGGGGAAGTAGTGTTACCCCCGAAACGCGTTGGGTATTTTAATATGGCTTGTTTACAAACAGACTCTTTCATCTGGTTTTGAAATGTGCTTCTTTCTGTATTTCTATGATTTTGCTTTCTAAAGTGCTGTGTATCATAAAAAACTGCCTTCACTTGACGACCACAATACGTATATACCGTATTTTTCGCTCCACAAGATGCACTTAGATTTTAGAAGAGGAAAACAAGAAAAAAGAAATTATGAACCAATGGACTGTGGACATAGTACAGGAACTGACCATAGGCTGCAGACATAGTACAGAAGATGAACAGAGACTATGAACACAGTATAGGAGATGGCCAGAGACTGTGGACATAGTATAGGAGATGACCAGAGACTGCAGACACAGTACAGGAGATGACCAGAGTCTGCGGACACAGTACAGGAGATGACCAGAGACTGCGGATGCAGTACAGGAGATGACCAGAGACTGCGGACACAGTACAGGAGATGACCAGAGACTGCGGACATAGTACAGGAGATGACCAAAGACTGCGGACACAGTACAGGAGATGACCAGAGACTGCGGACACAGTACAGGAGATGATCAGAGACTGCGGACACAGTACAGGAGATGACCAGAGACTGCGGACACAGTACAGGAGATGACCAGAGACTGCGGACACAGTACAGGAGATGACCAGAGACTGCGGACATAGTACAGGAGATGACCAAAGACTGCGGACACAGTACAGGAGATGACCAGAGACTGCGGACATAGTACAGGAGATGACCAGAGACTGCGGACACAGTACAGGAGATGACCAGAGACTGCAGACATAGTACAGGAGATGACCAGAGACTGCGGACATAGTACAGGAGATGACCAAAGACTGCGGACACAGTACAGGAGATGACCAGAGACTGCGGACATAGTACAGGAGATGGCCAGAGACTGCGGACATAGTACAGGAGATGACCAGAGACTGCGGACATAGTACAGGAGATGACCAGAGACTGCGGAAATAGTACAGAAGATGACCAGAGACTGCGGACACGGTACAGGAGATGACCAGAGACTGCGGACATAGTACAGGAGATGACCAAAGACTGCGGACACAGTACAGGAGATGGCCAGAGACTGCGGACATAGTACAGGAGATGACCAGAGACTGCAGACATACTGTAGTAAAGGAGATGACCAGAGACTGCGGACATAGTAAAGAAGATGACCAGAGACTGCGGACATAGTACAGGAGATGACCAGAGACTGCGGACATAGTACAGAAGATGACCAGAGATTGCGGACATAGTACAGGAGATGACCAGAGACCGCGGACATAGTACAGGAGATGACCAGAGACTGCAGACATAGTACAGCAGATGACCAGAGATTGCAGACATAGTACAGGAGATGACCAGAGACTGCAGACATAGTACAGGAGATGACCAGAGACTGCGGACACAGTACAGGAGATGACCAGAGACTGCGGAGATAGTACAGGAGACAACCAGAGACCGCCGATATAGTACAGGAGATGACCAGAGACTGCGGACATACTGTAGTAAAGGAGATGACCAGAGACTGCGGACACAGTACAGGAGATGATGACCAGAGACTGCGGACATAGTAAAGGAGATGACCAGAGACTGCGGACATAGTACAGGAGATGACCAGAGACTGCGGACATAGTACAGGAGATGACCAGAGACTGCGGACATAGTACAGGAGATGACCAGAGACTGCAGACACAGTACAGGAGATGACCAGAGACTGCAGACCTTTGGGGAGGGGGAGTGGGTACCCGAATTTGACAGGTTCCCACTCCCACTTCTGCAGAGTTGTCCCCCCCCCCCCCCGTAGTCTTGTGGGACACGTGACAGGTCCCAGGAGACTACGGGGCCATTCACAAAGTGCAGCGATTCTCATGCATGCGCAGTGGGCACCCGGCTACGACAGCTTGCGGCCTCACTGAAGATGTCGGCGTCGGGGAGAGAAGACGGCCGATGGAAGCAGGACACCGCTGGACCGAGGAACAGGCAGGACGGAGGAGTGGGTTCTTCTTCATAGTAGAGCCAAGCGCCTGGCCCAGTATTCTAACACGGCGGCGGGAATACCGGGCCAGCCACTCCATATACGCTCCATAAGACACACAGACATTTTCCCCCATTTTTTGGGGGGAAAAAAGTGTGTCTTATGGAGTGAAAAATACAGAACTTCAAGTGGTTTACAGGGGTTTTGGCTGAAGATATCAGCCATAAATCCAGGATCTTTTTTTTCAGCCAACAGCCAGCTTTCTGAGTAGTCCAAGTAGCTAGTTAGCCCCCAGAACGCTTTCAGTAGTGGAAGGAGGGGACGCCCCCCTCCCCCCCCCCCCCCCCCCCCCCCCCCCCCCACCCTCGCCGGTGTTACCCGGGCTTACCTTTAAAATTGGCATGCCTGAGAAACCACCCGATGGGGCAACTGGCTGCTCCCAGAGGCGATGACAGACTTTATGGTCTGTAATCACCTATGGCGTTGGAGGACTGGATCCATTTTAAAGCAAAAGATCAAAAAAGGTTGTTTTTTTTGTATATTTTGCTTTTAAAGGTAAAGGAGAGATTTGTGGTCTTTTTGACCCCAGATCTCTCCTTAAAGAGAACCTGTCATACTTATTACTATTACAAGAGATGTTTACATTCCTTGTAACAGGAATAAAAGTGATTAAAAAAAAGGGACAGTGTAAAAATAAAAAATAAAAGATAAAAACATTTTTTGAAAATTTTAAAGCACCCCCATCCCTTTTTGCTCGGGCACAGAAGTGAACGCATTCAATTGTGCGCACATATATGTAAATGGTATTCACAGCACACATGTGAGGTATCGCCGCAAATGTTAGCGTGAGAGCGATCATTCCAGCACTAGACCTCCTCTGTAACTCTAAACAGGTAACCTGTAAAAATATTTTAAAGCGTCGTTTATGGAGATTTTTAAGTACCGTAGTTTGTCGCCATTACACGAGCGTACACGAGCGTGCACAATTGTAAAGTGTGACATGTTAGGTATCTATTTACTTGCCGTAACATCATCTTTCATATTTTATTGGGTTATATATTGTGTTGTGTTTCTTATTTGAATTCAATAAAGTGCATTTTTTCAGAAAAAATTGTTTTTGAAAAACCACAGCGCAAATACCATGTGACATAAAAAAAATTGAAAAGATAACCATTTCATTCATATTAACTAGTAAAATAATTACCGCGCTCTAATACTAACCTAAAAAGTGCATAGTGCTAGTAAAAAATATATAAACAATTGATCATATCATATAAAATAAAATAAAATATAAAATAAAAAAAATTGAATTGTGATACCATAAACAGTTACTCAGTGTGCAATACTTATATATATGTGCCAATATTCCATCAGTGAACCACATTAAAATTCATGGTGAGAAACTTAAAAATAATTAGTGAATAAAGTCCCAAGTGCAAATGTGCTAGAGTGTTCCAACCAGATCAAATATACTCTCCTTCCATTCATTCATGTTAGGTATCTATTTACTTGCCATACAGCGGGAGGAATGAGACTCCATATGCCTCAACAGGAAGCACGGGTCTCCAAGTGAGTCAAAGCCGTAAAGTACAGCCAAAGGATCTCACCACCAAAGCCTCTGAGATACTGTATAGAAAAGCCTGTGTGTGATGAAACTCACCGATATCTACTAAGACTGGAATAGGGGCATGATTAACAGACCCTTTATATAAAGCACAACCTGGATGCAGGGGTGGACTGACAACTCATGGGGCCCCCGGGCAATAGGGGATCATGGGGCCCCTGTGTCCTTGCCCAAACTCAAAAAAGCCTATGAAAAAGGTACCAGGGGCATCTCATGGGGCCCCCTACTGACCCCGGGCCCTCGGGCAGTGCTGAGTTTCCAAATGGTCAGTCCGCCCTTGCCTGGATGGATTCTAAAGAGTTCTTGTATAAAAATTTCAGTTTGTAGAAATGAAGAAATTCTTGGTCTGTGTATGCCATCTAGTGGACATAAAGTATTAAACACTTAGGAGGAACCTCATTCAATTACTAATAGAGAGTAGAGAGGTATTTTTAACCACTTCCGGACTGACCGCCCACCATGTACTGTGGAGAAGTAGCCAGTGCAGGCACAGCGACATACCAGTCCATCGCTGCCTGCTTCCGTTTGTAGGGATCGCGCGTGCGCACCAAAATCTCCCCACAGCAGGAGCCAGTTGCTGATCCCCCGTCCTTTTTTTCCCCGCAAGGATCCTTCTACCGTATCTGGTATGGTCATCCTTCCTCCAGGCATCGCTGACCTATCCCTGTGGTTGCACCCTTATGTTAGCCTTTTTGGAGGAGTTTCCCAGAGACAGTTACCATGATTTACCTGTACTAGACTCCTAGTATATCCGTGTGGTGATTTGGGTATCTTTAACATTCATTGTATTTAAATCGTGGAAATTAATTCAGTTGAATCAGATGTGATACCAATATTTAGCCCACTACCTTACTACTACAGGGCTCATGTCTCTGGACAAGGTGCCTCCAGTGAACGTCATTATCCGGTGCCCACATATGGGGCTATGCCACCAAAAGCCAACAACCACCACCATGTTTTTGAGGTGTCAACAGAAAATAAATCTGGGACCTGTAGTTGGATTTGATATGGGAGGGGCACATTCAACTTCAAAATGTAAATGTTTCTTTTGTACTGTGTGGATGGAGTTGTTACATAAAGTTCATTAATTACTGTAACAAAAAAATGGCCACAACTTACATTTTCTAAGCCAAGCAGAACGAGCAGAGGAATGGTGGTCATTCCGCCTTGAATCCACTCTTCCAGGGATACCGTACCGTCGTGGTCATAATCTATCTCCTCCATCATTTCATGGAGAATCTGTAACATAAAGGGAATTGAATTAAATAAAATGTAAGTTAGTCTGTAACAAATTTATAGAAAAACAACTGGAGCAGGTATAGAAGGCACCCCACAGTGCCTTAGGGCCAACCTGCTTTTTCTAAACTGCTGCTGGAACCCCTAGAAAAACCCCAAACTTCTGGATATGTGGCACACATGTACATTACCACTTGTTTCCCATAATGCAGTGCTCAGTGACTAAGAAACCTATCACCAGGACCAAGGGATGTCGCATGGGTGGTATCAAGAACATGACATGAAAAGTGCCAGTCATAAGGCTCATGCACATGCACATGCTCATTGGAGGGGATGTAATAAAGTACAGGAGATATCTCATAATGAAACCTTTTGGATCTTTAAACTTAACACCTTGAAACCTAGGGGTCTTAACATTGAACTGGACTTAAATTGTTCTATTTCGGATTTGTAAAAAAAAAAATATATATATATATATATATATATATATATATATATATATATATTTTAATTTTTTATATAATGTTGTATATTTTTTATTATTTTTTATTATTTTTATAGTATTTTTACAATATTTTCTGTGAATGTTTAATTTTTTTTATATATTTGTAACCAGTGTTGAAGGGGTGGTGTCACCCCCAGCCTTATGTTAACACAGAATCGTTCTTTCAATTTCCAAAATGGCTGCCAGTGGTATGGTTATCCCTTATACATAAGTGTTGTTTTAGGGTAACTTAGGGATTGGCGATATGGTGTGGGGGTTATGTTGCTCCCTTTTTATGCTATTCAGTATCGCACAAAAGTTTGGGTAGTAATACATCTATATTTCCACTTTGTAAGATGGCAGCTGTGGCTTTTCCGCCAGGTTATGAGTGGGTACTTAAGGAGCTGGAACCATATGACCGTATCCTTGTTGACAAAGTCCGGAAGTGACGAAACGCGTCCAGGGCACGTGACGTATTGACGTTCCCGGAAGTGCAGCGGCAGCCATATTGGATTCTGGAACGCTTGTGTGTCGGCGTTCCTGGGACTCACAATACACTCCTGGCGTCCCCCCCCAAAGCTGAAGTAACAGTGGTGGACAGGAGTGTGACGGGGGAATTTCCTGGGGATCCTGGGGTTCCTTCGAAACATGAATATGGGGTCTTATACTGGTCGCTAGGAGCAGGATGCTGATTTTATCGATTTTATATGTAAGTGGCTACAAAAAATTTTGTATATTATTGTGATTCATATACTGATTCCTTGTCTGTTTATGAGGTCCAAAGGAACAAGAGGATACCAATTTAAGGACACTCTATGCACATTGGTTGATTACAAGCTGATGTTATCTGATTTAGGGTAATTATGCACTTTGTATAAGGCTTGCAGTGATATTTATTGGAATAGTTTTTACACGAGTGCTGTGACACTAGAGTGTTTTTGCATGGTACACGTGTGGCACTTTAGTTTTGGTATTTAAGATAATACACTATGTTTAGATTTTGTTTTTTCGAGGTATTTGAAGAGCGTCTGTGATTTATCTTCATCCTCATCTGTAGAGTAGGAAGCACCTATTTATCAAGATCTGGTTTTCACTTTGGACACAATTTTTCAAGTTTTGGACACTTTATTGTGTTGGGACTTTATGTATTTTGGGATTATAATTTTCTTTTTTTGGGACTTGATTTATTATTGGAATTGTGGGTTTTGTTTGTTTAAGTCGATTAACATATGATGCATATAAACCTCATGTTTTCGGGCATGGCACACATATGTGCACATGGACAAATCGTTACATTCACCAAATATACTGACACCTAGTGGCTATTTCAAATTGGGCCCTGCGTGGGATCATTTCTGAATGGTCTTCTAGCTGGCATTCTTGTTATTTCTGATCCTGAACCTGCTTGACCCTGTTACTGACCTGGCTTTCTTCTGGCCTGCTGCTGGATAATCTTTGCCTGTCTATGTTTGATACCTACAGTGCCTTGAAAAAGTATTCATACTCTTTGAAATTTTCCACATTTTGTCATGTTGCAACCAAAAACGTAAATGTATTTTATTGGGATTTTATGTGATAGACCAACACAAAGTGACACGTA